GTATCATTAACTTTCAGTACTCTCTGAAGTTACACTGAAATCCAGGCTTTACACGTTCTCACTTCCTATATAATATTAATAAGCTTCTGAGGCTGCTTATTAAAATAGCAACCTGGAACTGACTTAAATCAAGAGAACTTTACTTTTCTCTCCTTAAATGGCTCTTCTTAGAACCAAATCCAGAGGAAGTAAGAACTCTACTTCTCTACATGGATGCTTTTAACTACTTGATTTGACACTGCTGGGGATGGGCTCTGAAAAGGTCAGTGTAAGAAAACAGAGGTTGAGCTTGATGAGATGGGCAGTATTAGTCAAGGTAGAATAAAGATGGGGAGCTCATTTGAGATCTTAAAACTGATTTGGGAAAAGGAGCAGCAGTGGGAATTTTCAGTAAACATTCCTTACAGATAAGCCCCATTAATGTGGGAATAAAGGAAATAGGTTTGGAAAATAGTCTGAGTATTTATTTTGAATACAAAAACTTCAATCATATCCTGAAGACTAAGGAGAAGTGTTCAAGTTTTACTTTTCATTTTGTTTTGTTTTAAGAAAAATCAGCTTATTGTTCTTATAAAACTAATACATTATAAAGAGTTAAGCAATGCTAAAGAAAAGCACAAAGAAAAATATTTTAAAACCCGTAAGCCCCACAATCTAAGAATTACCATCATTAACATTTGGTTAACATTATTCTGAATATCCTTCCATACCTTTATACAGATAATATGATAGAGTAATAGGTATATAGATAAATATATCTACTTTTTAAATGGTATCATACTATACATATTATATAAAAATAAAAAATATTAAATTCGAGCTCACATTAACAGAATTTTAAAAACTAAAAGAAAAATGGAGCATCAAGAAAAGTTTATTCACTACAAGCAATATTTTTTCTTAAAATCAATTTAAGGTTACAAAAAAGCAATTTTGATATTACATTTCTTTTTCTTTAAAAAAATATGATTGAAATGAGAATAAATTGACTCACAGTATCTTCCATAAAACCTTCCCACAGGGCCAAATATTTTTTAGTCATTATTTTACATTGTTAATTTGTATAACATGTATACTCTCTAAAACATAAGTTCACACACATGTTCAGTATTAATTCTACATTTAAATGGATTCACTGATTATCACATATCCTTTTACCAAGAATTCTCAATTTTTATAGCTATAATTATGTCCTATTTCTTAATTGTCTGAATTTCACTTTCAAGTATTTCTTTTTTCTGTGAGTTGTTCTATATTGTTGGGAATCTGTTTAGTACCCTATTTTTGAATGACATCTTGGCTGGACATACGATTCTTGGATCACATTTTTGTTCTCTCAGAGTTCTGTAAACAATGCTCCATTGTCTTTTGTCTTTGGTTGTTGCTGTTGAGAAATTTGAGGACAGCCTGACTTTTTTCTTGTCAATGATTTTCTTTTTTCTGCCTGGATGCCTAAATTTCAATAAATTAATTAAAATACATCTCCTGATTGAATGTTTTACATCAAAATGTCTTGTTTTGCTCTTTCAAGTGACATATTAATTCATTATTTTAGAGGGAACTTCTGATTTTATATTTTTGAATACTTCTGTTCCACTTCATGAGTCCTCAACTCCAGAGACACCAATAACCTCTGTCTTCCACATCTATTACCTTCTTCCTAATTGTTTTCGTCTCTTTGTGTGTTTCATCTGCCTTTGTCATGATTATAAGTCTTTTCTTCCACATCAATAATTCCATTTCCAGCCACATCCACTCTGTTTCTTGCTATCTATTAGTTCTGTAATGATACTTTTTGGTCTTTGCTTTATCAGCTGTGCAATTTCCCTAGTCATCTCTTTCCGTTGTTTTAGTCCTCCTTGTTGAGTTCTTAGTCTACTAGCTCATTTTCTTTTTAGGTTTTTCTAGAGCTCAAAGCACTTGGGGTGATTTTCTTTTTCTGTTTCTCTCCTTGCCTCCTGAATTTCCTCCCGCTTTATGAAACTGCTTTGGTTTTCCTAATAAACTGCAACTCAAGGACTGTTATTTTATGCTGCATGCACTTTTCCTGTGATTTATAAGCTTTTCTGAAGGAGGGGAAGGGGCAGAACTCAGGGGAGGGGGTGTGCAGCTGTTGTTAGAATACCAAAGTTCTGCAATTACTTCTGAGGCTTCAAGTGTCTATTTCAGAGTTCACTCTACTAGGGATTGGCATATCCCATTCCTATGGGAAAGAGCCTCAGTCTTAGAGCCTCCCCTAATTTGGCACGCTTTCCTGGCGTCTTTCACTGCCACCCATAAGAGTCAGTCTGTTCTTCACTTCTCATTTCCTCTTCTTCTCCCAGTAGCCATTTTCCAGAGAGAAGAAACGAAAGCTAAAGGAACCACCTAATTTTCTTTTCTCTTGGAATATATGTGCACGTATACATGTTAGTCCCCAGGATTTTGTGCACCTACTAGCATGCATTTTGATAGAATGGAGGCAGGACTGGAAGCCTTGACCTGCTCCAGACCGGAACCTTCTGTTTCTTTCCCTAACTGCCACTTGTTGATATTTAAGATATTGAGTTGTTACCCTTTGTTTGCTGTGGACAAAATTTTAACTTTTTAAACTTTCTTAGGTAATGGTGGAAACAGAGCCTATGAGAAAGCTTTATTCCATTATCTTAACCTAGAAGTACAACACTCTTTATGTATGTGTTTATTTTTTCTGATTATAAAAGTTATATATACATGTAGCAAAGATTATGTTGTACACCTTAAACTAACACAATGTTGTATGTCACCTATATCTAAATAAAACTGCGGGGGGGGGGAAGCCTGGGGGAAAAAATAAAAGTTATGTATCCTTGCTGTAATTCAAACCATACAGAAATGTATAAAGTAAAAAGTGAAAGTTCATTATAATATAGCTCCCAAAAATATCACTTCTAATGATTCCCTGATCTTTTTATATATTTATTTATTTTCTTTCTTTTTTTTTTTTTTTTGTCAATGCTTCGGCCTTTCAGCAGACATCATTGGAAATATGTGAATACAGAAATGTTTAAAGAACAGCTTTAAAAAATATTTATTTATTTTTAGACAGTGGGGAAGGGACGGAGAAAGAGAGGGAGGGAAACATTAATGTGTGGTTGCCTCTCATGCGTCCCCTACTTGGAACCTGGCCTGCAACCCAGGCATGCGCCCTGACTGGGAATTGAACCGGCAACCATTTTGTTCACAGGCCCGCACCCAATCCACTGAGCCACACCAGCCAGGGCTAAAGAACAGCTTTATTAAAGTAGGTTTTATATGCCATAAAATCCACCCATTTCACATGTGCAATCTGGTGACTTTCGTAAATATGGAGTGGGGCAACCATCACCATAACACACATACTTTCTGCAAAAAATACAGTTACTTTCTCGATTCCTACTTACCTACTCTCCCAATTCTAAAATATGCTTACTGATGCCCACAGTATGCTAAACATGGCTAGGAGAACTTTTGGGTAGTTCTGTTCCTGCCAGCTGAGCTTGACTCTCAAATGTCAGGGGGCTTTGTTCTACTTATTTATGTCAGTGATGTTTACTACTATAATTTAATCAAACTTTTGAAAACTTACAGAATATGAATGTAAAGATAAAAGTGAGGTTTCCATGAAAACTAAGTTGAATGCTTTGGAAAGGCTCATTAAAGGCAAGTTGTTAAAAAAATTATTAAATTGTGTATGTGTGAGAGATCTGTGTTTGGAAAACCCACAAATCTACAGTGTCTTCAGTTACTGCTCCACTTTAAAGAAATATTTGAACGAATCATAGATAATTGTTAAAGGAAAGAAGCACAAACCACTCCAAGAAACACTTCGATCAGAGAGGCCCTATAATTACAGAGAAGAGCCTGAGGCTGTGTAAAAAGATTGATGATGGCATTTACAAGTTAAAATAACATGCTTATAATATACAATAAACTTATTTTCTTAAGCAAAACCCTATTTTGTATAATGCTTTTAAATTCTGCATTTTAATTGATTTGTTCAATTAACCTACCACCAGTCCCAACAGCATCTCATAAAAGGGTCTCTGTTAGGTTTGTAACCAGCTTTTCCTTTACAGTATACTGCGAATATTTATCATGCCTCACAATATTCCATTGTATTGTCGATACACCCTAATTTACTTAACAAATTCCCTACTTAAACTATGTCGGTGTTTTCATGGGCAGGGAGGTGGGTGCGGGACTTGAGCAGAGAACTATGATGGAAGTGGACTAAAATAGTCACTCTGGCAATAGAGCATAAGATGTATTAAAGGCGGGGGCTGGGGGTGGATGAAAAGAGGGCAAACCGTGCCTGAGAGGCCCCTGCGGTAATCCAGCTCTGAGAATAGACCAGGAAGTGGCAGTGGCGTTTCTCATCACTCTTAAGCACCCAACAGTTGTTCTTGTCAGTCCGGAAAGCCCTGATATTTTCTGAAAACACACTATACTTTTCCTCCCCTCTACCTTAGCTCATTCCAGTCCTCCTCCCACATTTCATTTTTGCCTGTTGAAACCGTACTTTTCCTTCAAGATCCTTAATAAACTCTCACACACTCTTGCCTTGATTGGTCCTGGCTAGAAATTATCCCTTCTCTTCCATTTCTAATAGACAGCTAGCTAAGTTCTCCTTTCCTTTCTTCTTTCCCCAAAGTATTTTTCTTCCAAAGGCAGTACAGTGCTGTGGTTAAAAGCAACGACTTTGGAACTTCCAATCTGCTATCTCCGCCACCTTGGCACCTTACCCAAATTCTCAGTGCCTCAGTGTCCTGACTGTAAAATGGGAAGAAGTGTAGACAGTTGTTACGAGGCTAAATCAGTGAACAGATTTAAAGCACTTAAAAGGGTGTTTGACATAAAGTAAGTGCTGCATAATTGTTAGTATTCATTTTGATTCACCCTGGCGGGCAGCCTACTACAGGATCACGCCAGGGCAGACGCCCACCCCGCGGGGCAGCCCCGGCGGAGGCGTGGAAAAAGCAAGGCGCGGGAGCGCGCTCACGTGGTTGAGCCAAGATGGCGTCGCCCAGCTCGTTATGGCTTTTGGCTGTTGCTCTCCTGCCGGCGTCCTGCTCTGCCCTGAGGCTGGGGCGCCTCGACCCGCCCGCGCCCCGGCCGCTGGTGATCTGGCATGGGATGGGTGAGTGAGAGGAGGATCCAAAGGGTTTAGACTCTTCCCCTCTTTCAGCCTGGGTTCGCGTCTACAAAGTGCGAGCGCGAAGGGCGAGGACTGTGGTCACATAGCAGCCGGATGGCGGGATGTTAGGATTTGGGGACTGCTCTGCATTGGGAGGGGAGAAGGGCAAGGATCTGTCCTTGCGGTGAGGGCTCCCAGAGACCTGTGCAGTGCGTTCGGGTTTTACGTGCTGAGCTTGTTTAATCCTCGGAGCAGTGGCGTCAGGATGCTGGCACTTGCTCTCGGAGAGAGCTGGGCTGCCTCTCCGTGACCCAGGCATCCATCCTTTTATTCATTCACACATTGGACAGAGATTTGTTAGGCACCTATAGTTTATGTATACATTTAACACATTTATTGAGCACCTGTAGATGCTGAGGATACAGCAGTGAACACAACAGACTAAATTCTTTGCTCTTTTGGAACTTATTTTCCAAATGGAGAGACAGACTATAAAGAAATAAACAAGTAAAACATACAGTATGTCCAATGGTGATAAGTGTGATGGGAAAAGTAAAACAGAGAAGGGTATAGAAACCGAAGATGGAGGCTTGCAATTTTATAAAGCAAGATCAGGAAAGGATTCACTGAGAAAGTGACATCTGAGCAAAGACCTGAAGTGGACAAGGAAGATGCCATGTGGCTGTCTGGAAGGAACAGCAGATGCAAAGGCCCTGAGGCAGAAGTGTGTCTGGTATGTTTAAAAAACTACATTCACGCTAACCAATGTGGCACAGTTGGTTGGGTGTCATTACAAAACAGATGGTGGTCAGTTTGATCCCTGGTCAGGGCACATGCCTGGGTTGCAGGTCGAGGAGTATGTGAAGGAGACTGACCAATGCTTCTCTCTCACGTGGATGTTTCTTCCCCTCTCTTTCTTCCTCCCTTCCCTGCTCTCTAAAAATAAATAAAATATTTTTTTTAAAAAGGAAAAGGAAACTATATGCAGGTCAGTGTGGTGGGAACTGAGTGAGCAAGAAGAAGAATGAATATAGGGGTGTGGGGGTAGGGGGCCTGCAAGTGTTGTTTGGTCTACTAAGGCTACTGTAGGGACTTTGGCTGGAGTGAGATGGGAAGCCCGTGGAGGGGAGAGTTGAGATGATCTTAACTTACATTTTAAAAGGATCATTGTAGTTGATAATAGATTGTGGAGGTCATGGACATTTGTGGGGAGACAAGATGCTATTACAGTAATTTAAACAAGAGATGACCATGACTTGAAACATAGTTATATGGAGAAGTGGTCCAAGTTTGGAATATTTTGAAGGTGGAAGCAAGGGATTTGCTAACAGATGAGATGTAGGGTGAGTGAGAAAGAAAAGGAATCAAGGATGACTCCCGGAGGTTTGGCCTGAACAACTAGAAGGATGTAGTTGTCATTTTACCAAAGTGGAGAAGTCTGTAAGGGGAGCACATTAAGGATGGGGAGAAGATCAAGGGTCTGCTGTTGAATTTACTAAATTTGAAATGCTTGTTAGACATCCAGGAGATGTAGAGGCATTTGGAGTGTGGAGTCTAGGAGAGAGAAAAAAGTCAGAGATTTAAATTGGGGAAGCCTTCAGCTTATGGCTGGTATTTAAAGCCAGGAGACTGAGGGAGACAAACTAGGGCGTGTACACAGAAGAGGGAGGATATCTGAGGATTGAGCCCTGAGGCACTCCCAGTGTGTGGAGGTTAAGGAGATGAGGAGGAACCAGCAAAGAAGACAGTGATGGAACAACCAAGGAGGTGCAGGAAAGTCAGGAGAGTGCAGTGTCCTTGGGAACAGGTGAAAATGTTTTAAAAGGAAGGGGGTAATCACCTCTATGGAATGTTGTTGACAGGTTGAGTAAGATAAGGGCAGAGAATTGGTTATTGGATTTGGCGATATGAAGATCGCTAAAGACCTCTACAAAACAGCGAGAGGGAGAACCTTAATGGAATGGGTTGAAGGAAGGTGTTCGGAGAGGAATTAGAGTCAGTAAATACAGTTAGTTCTCTCAGGGCTTTGGTCCAGGTCCTGAGGCTGCTACAGTGGAATTCATCAAGTGCACAAGGAGCTCCAGGCCCTCCCAGAGCCATCATCCATAAGGAGGCAGGAAAGTAACCAAGAATTACAGTTCAGTGTGGTGAAGGTTTTTATGAGAGAAATCGAAGATGCTGTGGTTCTTAGGTTTTTCTTCTTTAAAAACTAATTCTTAAGCTTCCTCTCTGCCTACTTCACCCACTCAGTGGCCAGTCACTTTGCTTCCCATTCTTAGTTCTGGTTCCTGGAAACAGGAAAAGAAACAGCCGGGCCTTGGGTGGAACAAGGAAGCCCCTACAGAGCAGCGATTTTCAACCTGTGTCATCTCCTGGCACATAGAAACTAAATTACTACATTCAGAAGTTTAGTAATTAAGTAATTACTAAAACTGTGATGTGTCAAAAATACCCTTTTTGCCGATTTGACCAAAAAAAAAAAAAAAGGTATAATTTTGATTCATTCACACCGGATGACTATTGTTGTGTTGGCTGTTGTCATTTTTAAATTTAACACTCTAAGGGAAAAAGGGGTCAATGATCCTGACTAAACAGTCAGGTATTGCCTGTTTTAAAAATTCTTGTGGCACACTAGTACGCCTGCCTCGGCATACTGGTTGAAAATCCACTGCCCTGGAGTATAAGATTTAAAGAGGCACTGACTCTCTAGTGCATACAAGTTCATGGTCAGCACTTGCATGAACCTGAGAGTGAACCTTAAATTTTATATCCTAGGTGCTTCACCTGTCTTAACCTTATTCTTGCCTTAAAGAGAAATTCAATCCCAAAGCACGCTGGAGTCCGTTAACCCAAAATGTTCCTGATGACAAAGGAGGGGAATTTGCACCTCTGCTTATTTTTCATTTGTAAATTTGGTGTCCCAATTATATTATATGGGCTTTTGAAGTCTATTACTTGATGAATGTGAGCTAAGAGAAAAATGTTTTTTTATTGAGGTGAAATTCATGTAGCATGAAATTAACTGTAATAAAGTATAGAATTCAGTGGCATTCAGTATATTTATAGTGTTGTGCAACCACCACTTTCCTCCAGTGTTTTTTTAAATCTTCACTTGAGGATATATTTACTGGTTTTAGACAGAAAGGGAGGGAGGGAGAGAGAAACATCGATTGGTTGCCTCCCATACATGCCCGACTTGGGATCAAACCTGCAACCTAGGCATGTGTAGTGACCTGTGATCGAGGCTGCAACCCTTTGGTACATGGGATGACATTCCAACCAACTAAGCCACTTGGCCAGGTCCACTACTGTCTAGTTTCAAAACTTTTTTCTAATCACCCAGAAAATACCTGTACCCATTAAATAATCATTCTTCAGTCCCCATCTGCCACAACCTCCTGAAAATGTTCAGCCTGCTTTCTGTCTATACGGATTTGTCTCTTCTGGGTATATCACATAAAAGGAATCATACAATATGTGACCTTTTGTATCTGGCTTATTTCACTTATAGTGTTTTCCAGGTTCATCTGCATGTGTCAGTACTTCATGCCTTTTTATGACTAAATACTATTCTGTTGTAGATATACCAGTATAGATGACAATTTGTTTATCCATTCATTCATTGATGGACATTTGGGTTATTTCTACCTTGGACATAAAAATAATGTGGTTGTAAACATTCACGTACACATTTTTGTGTACGGGCATATGTTTTTATTTCTTTTGGGTATACAACAAGGTCTGTCTGGAATAAAGCCCAGCCACTGCTAATACAAAGAGAACTGTTTGCATGACATCGGTGTAACCTGGCAGCGAAGGAGAGAGGACTGGAATGCACATGCGTGAACAATGATGACTTCACTGTACTAGTCAGTGGGGAGTGGTAGATGCCATTGAGTGAGCATGTGTACTGTGTGGCCTTGGCACTCAAAATGACTGAGCAAGTAGAGCAATGAATCTGCATCAAATTTTGTATTAAGTTTAAACATTCATCTGTGGAAACTATTTGGATGAATCAGAAGGCTGCAGCTATGGGCAACTTGTGATTGGCAGCTTCATCACGACAACATGCCCTCTCATGTATCATGTCTCATGCAGAATTTTTTGGCCACACATCAAATTACCCAGGTGACTCAATCCCCTTACAGTCCAGATTTGGTGCCCTGTGACTTCTGGCTTTTCCTAAAACTAAGGGAAGAGATTCCAGACCATTGATGAGATTCAGAAAAGTAAGACGGGGCAGCTGAAGGTGATTGTGAGGACTGTGCGAGGTCCCAAGGTGCCTACTTTGAAGGGGACTGAAGTGTCATTGTCCTATATACAATGTTTCTTGTGTCTTATTCAATAAATGTCTCTGTTTTTCACATTACATGGCTGGACACCTTCTGGAAAGTCCTCATGTCTGGAAGTGAAATGGCTGGGTCATATGATAACCATGTAGTAACTTTCTGAGGAACTACCAACCTGTTTTCACAATGGCTGCATCACATTACATTTCCACCAGCCGTGTACAAAGGTTCCTATTTCTCCATATCCTGCCAATACTTGTTATTTTCCTTTTTTAAACTTAACTAATAAACTATTCATTAAAGCCATCCTAGTAGGTGTGAAGTGGTATCTCATTGTAGTTAACTTTTATTTATTGATTTTAAGGAAGAAGGAGGAGAGAGAGAGAGAGAAACATTGATTAAAAAAAGATTGTATTTATTTTTTAGAGAGGGAGAGAAACATCAATGCATGGTTTCCTCTCCTGCGCCCCTTACTGGGGACCTGCCCTGAAAGCTAGGCATGTGCCCTGACTGGGAATCAAACTGGTGACCCTTTGATTCACAGGCTGCCACTCAACCACTGAGCCATATCAGCCAGGGCAGAAACATTGATTTTTTTTTTGTTCCATTTATTTATGCCTTCATTGGTTGATTCTTGGACATGTCCTGACCTGGAATGGAACCTGTAACCTTGGCATATCGGGACCACACTCTAACCAACTGACTACCTGGCTAGGGCTCTCATTGTAGTTTTGATTTGCATTTCCCTAGTGACCAGTGGTGTTCAACATCTTTTCGTGTGCTTCTGGGCCATTTGTATATTATCTTTAGAGATACATCTGTTAAAGTCCTTTTTTCCATTTTTAATTAGGCTTCTTCATGTCATTGAGTTGTAAGAGTTCTTTGTATATTCTGGATATTAAACCTTCATCAGATAAATGTTTTGTAAATATTTCCTCCCATGCTGTATGTTGTCTTTTCACATTCTTGATCATGCCCTTTGAAGCACAAAAGTTTTTTAAAAATAATGTTTGATTCATAAGTGCTCGTTGTCTTTGTTGTCTAGGAGACAGCTGTTGTAATCCCTTAAGCATGGGTGCTGTCAAAAAAATGGTTGAGCAGAAAATACCTGGAATTTATGTCTTATCTCTAAAGATTGGAAAGACCCTGATGGAGGTAAGGCACTTTTTATAGCTCTGTTTCTTTGAAGGTTTGCTGGCTAATTTCATGGAATGTACCATAAAAATGCTTTACCTTGTATTTTTAGCAGCAAATCATGCAATGACACTGTAACTCTTGAGAGGCTTTTGTGAGGACACCAACCTAAACAAGTTTACTTCTTAGAGAAGACGCCAGTACCTGGTTTCAGTCCCATCTTTTCACTTCTGTGCGGCTCCTCTTTTAGGATGTGGAGAACAGCTTCTTCTTGAATGTCAATACCCAAGTAACAACAGTGTGTCAGATTCTTGCTAAGGACCCTAAATTGCAGCAAGGCTACAATGCTATGGGATTCTCCCAGGGAGGCCAGTTTCTGTGAGTTCATTTCTGTTATACCAATTATATGGAATTGATTTCTTTCTCCTCTTCAGATAGAGCCATTCCTCTCGTTCTTTTTGGTCATCCTCACCCAAGGACATGCTTATTGATTTTAGAGAGAGGGGAAGGGAGGGAGAGAGAGAGAAGGAAAGAAACACAGATGTAAGAGAGAAACATCATCCATTGCCTCTTGTACACGCTCTGACCTAGAACCAGACCCACAACCTAGGCATGTGCCCTAACCAGAAATCGAACCTGTGACGTTTTGGCTTACGGGATGACTCTGCAATCAACTGAGCCACACCTGTCAGGGCTCCTCTAGTTCTTTTTGGATCTTCACCTATCTTGGAAGAGAAACTTTTTTCCCCCAAAATTATATTTAGAAAGTTAGAGGGGTAGAAGTGAGCTGTAAAAGAAATGAGCTCAGGAAACAAGTTCCAGAGGCAGAAGCAGGGCCCTTGGAGCTTAGGAGAAAGAGAGAAGGAAAACCCACTTGGGGGCAGGGGGTGGGGGAATGCGCCGGCGTGTTCCTCAGAGAGAGAGAGCTGCCTGGAAACTATTCTGACATGTTTCCATGAAGAAGCTTTATGGAACTTCTTTTCTTTCTTTCTTTTTTTTTTCTTTTATCCTTACCCGGGGACATTTTTTCATTGCTTTTAAAGAGAGAGGAAAGGAGAAAAAGAAATATTGATGAGAGAAAAGCATCGCACCTAGACTGGGGAACAAACCCACAACCCAGGCACGTGCCCCCATTGGAATCGAATGCTCAGTCTTTGGGTTACAGGACAATGCTCCAACCAATTGGGCCACACTGGTCAGGGCTATGACACTTAATTTTTATGAAAGAATAAAGATTTGTGTTTGGTCCTATCAAAGGAAAATCCTGAAATTGTAGCCTTGGGGAACTACAGAGAATTAAGTATCTTAATCTGGGAAATTGATTGTTGCTGATACGTTTCCATCTGACAGAGCTGATAACCCTTTCCTTCTTCACAGGAGGGCAGTGGCTCAGAGATGTCCCTCACCTCCCATGGTCAATCTGATCTCAGTTGGGGGACAACAACAAGGTAACTTTGGCCTCTTTGCCTCCTTTTTTCTATGTTCTAACCCACATGACCACCTGTTTTTTTTTTTTTAATTCTAGCATCTCTATTTGTGTAAAAAGTCAGCCATCCTCGCAAAATTCTACTTCCGCAGCTTATTACAAACTAGCCAGCATTCCCGAAGAAGCAGGAAGAGACTTAGGGTTCCATAGGCCTGAACACAAGTGAATTGTTAAGTTGCCATGTGCTTCCCAGTGTAGTTGACATGAGTTCCTGTAGGTGAAACGGTTGCAGCTGTGTAGCATGTGGTCAGGTGGAGGAATTAGGAAAGTCTAACAACCTTTTCTGTTTTCTGACATTGGCGATGTCTATTGAGTTTAGGCGTAGGCAAAGAATAATGTCTAAGCTTTTTTTCTCTGTAAAATAAACAGCAGTGATTAAATCCTTCAGAGAACAACAGGTTTTCTGTTTAGACAAAATTTCAGACTTTAGAGAAGGATATGTCTTTGGAATAGAACTTTATCTCTGTTCTGGTAAGTATGGCTAATTGGTGGTATAGTGTAGGGGCAGAAGGATTCTCCTTATAATCAGGAAACTAGGTTCACCCAATTAACTGTTGCTGATGGGCAGGTAATTTGGTATCATGGGTGCCTTCCACAGATGAGGGAAACTAAAATAAGGTCCTGCTCTTCTTGAGGGAATTTCTCAGATGATGAAATGAATAGGTAGGGAAATAATTTCTAAAAGTGCAAGTATTATGCAAATGCAAATTGGTAAAAACAACTTTATCCCTTATTCATTCAAAAAATATGTATTGGAAACCTATAAGCAAGACAGACAAGGTCCCTGCTTTCATGAAACTTCCATTCTAGTTGGGGAGGGGTGCAAGAACAGACATGAAACAAACAAAACACAGTCCATGGTAACCAAGATGAAGAAACAAATGAGTTACCACTTGGTAGAGAGAATTCGGGTTGTGTTGGTTAAAGGTGTGGGCTCTGAAGTGAGAACTGCCTACGTTCATCTTGTGGCTGTATCACTTACTGTCAGACCTTGGACAAGGCATTGAACCCCTCTGTTTTAAACATTCCTGTAATGGGGCAAATAATGATTTCTACTCCACAGGGTGATTGTGAGGATTAAATTAATTATTGTCAGTATATGTTCAGAACTATGCCTGGTACCCCAGGAAATGTTGAGAAGGATAGTGAGGATGAAAGTGTAACTGGGAGAGGGGAAGGAAACGGGGTGGTTACTACTTGAGTGAGGGTCGCCAGAGGGGAATTCTCTAAGCTAAGATCTGTGAGATGCAAGTGAGTCCAGCCATTGAAGCAGCAAGAGAACTACGGGCATACTTTGTTTTATTGCACTTAATTTATTTTGCTTCTCAAATACTGTGTTTGCATCAACATCTGCAGAGACCCTCCATCAGCAAAAAGATTACAGCTCACTGAAGTTCCAGATGATGGTTAATATTTTTTAGCAATAAAATATTTTTTAATTATGTGCATTATGTTTTTAGACCTACCTAGACTGTTGCACACTTCATAGACTACAGTATAGTGTAAACATAACCTATATGTACTGGGAAACCAAAAAGGTTGAATGGCTCACTGTGATACTCGCTTTATTGCGGTGGTCTGGAACTGAGCCTGCAGTATCTCGGAGGTATGCCTGTATGTCCTCCAGGGAGGAGCAGGGTCAAAGGTTCTTAGGCAGAAAAGAGTGGGAGTATCAGGAGGTAGCTGGTTATAGCACTAATACTAAATACATTATTTTCTTGAAGAATACATGAATGATATCAGGGTTAAGGTGTTTTTTTCTGTTGTTTCTCATAGTGCCTTGTACATAGTAGGTATTCATTACATAACCAGGGAATGGATAATGGTCTTCTGCTACTCTAGGTGTTTTCGGACTCCCTCGGTGCCCAGGCGAGAGTTCTCACATCTGTGACTTGATCAGAAAAGCACTGAATGCTGGGGCTTACAAGAAAGCTATTCAAGAACGGTATGTATGGTTAGCTGAAAAGGACGCCACTGTCACTACATTTAAATACTGTGCTGACTTTCATGCTAACAGTGATTCCTGGTGATGTTCAAATGAGATCATTTTCCTAAATATCTCTGTACTGTCTGCTCAGTTTTACTGTAAACCTAAAACTGCTTTAAAATTAATTTTAAAAAGAAAGGGAGGGCTGCCCTGACCGGTGTGGCTCCGTTGGATGGGTGTGGTTCCACAAAGTGAAAGGTCTCCAGTTCCATTCCTGGTCAGGGCATACACGCCCAGGTTTCATGCGGGTTTGATGCCCAGTCGATGCACGTATGAGAGGCAACCGATCCATGTTTCTCCTCACATTGATGTTTCTCTCCCTCTCTATCTCCTTCCCTTCTCCCCTCTCTAAAAATAAATAAATAAAATCTTTAAAAAATAAAAAGAAAGGGAGGGCATTTTTCTATATGGGAAGAATGTAATTCCAACAGAATAAATGTTCATCTTAAAAACAAACAGTCAAAAAGCCTTTAGAAAGTACCAAGCTCAGGAATTACTGTTAACGTTGGAGGAGAGATTCTTTCTGTTGTCAGCAGCATGGGGTTAGCTTCCTATGTCAGTGTCCCCAACCCCTCAGATGTGTTTGGATATTTATTTATTTATTTTTTCTCTCTCTCTTTCTTTTGGAAGGTGTTCTTGTTCAGTTGTTTCTAACTAAAATATACATCAGAACCCCCTGGGGAATGCATTAAAAATGGATTCTAGGGCTCCATTCCTAGAAATTCAGATTCAGTAGCTCTAGAGTATTCTAGGTGGTAACAAATTTGGGATCAATTAGTATAGTTATAGTGTCTGTCCTACAGGTTTTCCAAGTGTAGCATTTTTTCTAATAATAGCTCTTCAGTACAACACTTCCTTGAAGCTATCTTCCAAGGTATAACCTTGTGAATGACTCAAATAGAGAAAAACAATCTTTTCTTCCATTTACTATACTTATAGTAAAGTGATCTTAGGTCAACAGTGCCACCTGATGGTCAGTGAAGGAAACTGAGATACTTTACATTTCTATCTTTTCTCTCAAGCAGCTTAAACTACTGCATTTATGTCCTACAAATTCCTTGTTCTCATGAATGTATGTGGCTTCTTTACACTTCGTTATTTTTAAAGATTTTATTTATTTATTTTTATAGAGAGGGGAAGGGAGGAAGAAAAAGGTGAGAAACATTGATATGAGAGAGAAACATGATCGGTTGCTTCTAGTACATGCCACAAACGGGACTGAACCCACACCCCAGACTTGTGCCCTGGTGGGGAACTGAACTGCAGCCTTTCACTTTGTGGGGCAATACCCAAGCAACTGAGCCACACTGGTCAGAGACTGGTTCCTTTTCTCTCCATGCAGACCCCCCTCTCCTGCTGTGCTGAGAGGTGGCCTGGCCCAGCTTGTTTAGGAGATTATCTCCATCTGAGGCTAGACACTCTGGGTTCCATATCAAATTCTTAGGAAAGGGACCATGCCTCAGCTCAGGTCAGGCTCCTACATGTTCTGAGTAGCTGTGGCCAACCATACCCACTCCTGTTACTGGTAGGAGGGGGCAGGAAGGGTGCAGTTTCCACACCAGGGAGAATGGTTTTAATTTAGGCAGAGATCCCAGAAGATGTCTTCTACACTGTTCGGATAATTTAACCATAGCAGAGTAAGTTTGATAGCCTGATACCTGGAGTAAGCAGTGAGGAAGGGTTTTCAAGCACCAGGCCCTGGCCAGGCACGGTGGGGACGATGAGTAATGGTACGTGTAGTAACACTCTCTTGCCTTCTGACTGTGAAATCTGCTCTCCAGTTACCCTCCGAGATACTAGCAGCCCTTCCTGATTTCTGCTTCCTCATTTCCTCCCTGCCATCCCCCACCCCCAGGGTGACCCTGACCTTGGCCCCTCGTCTTCCCCTGTGCCAGCTCTGCTCTCCCAACTTGCCCTGTCCTTGGTCCATGGTTCTCAGAGTGCTTTTTTTCAGTTGTCCCACGTTGCCCACAACTTGCCATACTTTTTCCTGGAAATACTGAGGCCACCACTCAGACTCCCTCAGACACTTTTCAACTGTTCATAAACATACAGAGAGTAATGTAACAAACTACTATTTTTGTCATATTCTCCTCAGCTATTTTTAAGAACAAAAACATTTCAGATAAAATTGAATTTTTCTACATATCCTTCCCAGGTCCCATTCTCTCCCCTCCCTCCACAGTGACAACCTCTGTCAAGAAACCAGAATCTGCCCTGGCTGGCGTAGCTCAGTGGATTGAACGTGGACTGGGAACCAAAGTGTCCGAGGTTCGATTCCCAGCCAGGGTACATTCCTGGGTTGCAGGCCAGAACCCCCAGCAACCGCACATTGATGTTTCTCTCCCTCTCTTTCTCTCTCTCTCTCTCTCTCTCTTTCTCTCTCTCTCTCTCTGTCTCCCTCCCTTCCCTCTCTAAAAATAAATAAATAAATAAATAAAAATATAAAAAAAAAGGAAAGAAACCAGAATCTAGTCTATTAAAAATGTTTATATTAAGCCCTGGTTGGCGTAGCTCAGTGGATTGAGCACGGGCTGCGAACCAAAGCATTGCAGGTTCAATTCCCAGTCAGGGCACATGCCTGGGTTGCAGGCCATGGTCCCCAGCAACCACACATTGATGTCTCTCTCTCTCTCTTCCTCCCTTCCCTCTCTAAAAATAAATAAATAAAATCTTTATAAAAAGTGTTTATATTATACATGGTACATATCTATCCACAATCTGCTAATACATAATGTTATATTGTATATTTAAAATTTTATGTAATGGATACCTTATTGTACATTTCATTCTACAAATGATTTTTTCACTCAGTATTATGTTTCTGAGATCTAAACATGTTATACATACACATGAAGCTGATTTGTCTTAATTGCTGCATGGTGTTTTATTATATGACTTCACAGTGTATTGATTCCATATTGCAAATATTTCATCATTTCCAGTTTCTCGTTAAAACAAACAACTTTCAGAGAACATTACGTGTTGAAAAGCCCAGTTTCCCCTCCCCTGTTCTGGCTCCATTACTGCTAATGCTTTGACCTTGGGCAAGCTACTTAATCAATCACTCTGAATATTTGTAAGTTGCCTCATTTGTAAACATGGGTATAATATTAGTACTTACCCTGTGGAATTCTTGTAAGGATTAAATAGGTTAACATATATAAAATGCTTAGAATAAGCCTGGTATATGGTGAGTGCTGTGTGTTACTATTATTATCTCTAAGCCACGATGGCTAGAGCCTCAGAGGGTAGCGGCTTGTCTTACCAAGGATGGCCTGTGGCTGGGCAGTTCTGGCTTGGGAGCTCTCCTTTCCTGCCCCTCCACATGCTTCACTGGAAAGTATGTCGACTCAGACAGATTTAGGCTCATATCTTGCCTTTTGTAATGCTGATTGTGTAGCCTTGGGAGATTTCCTTAACCTTTCTGAACCTGGCCCCTCAGTGGTAAAATGGAGCTGATAGTGCAAACCCATGTTTTCCTCTGTCCATATCCTGAAGGGCCTCCCCCTACCCCGCCAACCGCCCCACCTGCTGCAGCTCTTCCAGCTTCTGCTCATCCTCGTGTCCTTCCCCTTGGCTGCCCCATGGGCACCAGCTCCTTACAACGCAAAATGTCTTTCACTTCTTCCTGTTGCCCTTTCTTAGCTCTGTTTCCTTTTCACACAAAAAGGTGACCCATGACTACTTTCTTCATTCCTTTTATCCTTAGCCATTAGGACGCCCCACTGCCATCCTGAGTCACCAGAACCTGGCCTGGCAAGATCCAAAGAACTTTGTATTATTTCACTTACATTTTCTGAAGAAACTTGATTAGCCACCTGTGTGTACTCAGTGCTCATCATTTGTCAGCATTTGACACTTGACCACCCACTCGTGAGGCTTTTTCTTCCCTCGTTCGCCTAACTACACTCCCATCATGTCCCTAAACCCTACCCCTCCTTTACTGCCGAGCCCACTTCTGTCATCCTGTTTCCTTTGGCAAATGCTCACCGCTGAGCGTCTGCCCCCCGCTGGGCAGCCACTGCTGAGGACCTGACAGTCTCGAGGGGAGAGACAGGGGGTCAGTGCTTTCACACGGTAAGCGGTAACAATGCTAAAACAAAATGGTAAGACCACTACTAACACCAGTATTTCATAAATGTTCAGAGTTCATTACATTTTTTTAAATTGGAGAAACTAAATATTTAAAAGCCTTCAAGCACATTTATAAACAGAGTATAGAACGTCACTTTGACCGCTGACAGTCCAACGGCTGCCTCCTTTAAGCTCAGTTCTGTCTGCCCCTGGAGCTGCCATCATCTGATGTAGCGGGCCCCACGGGCTTTAGTGCACCCTGCCTTGCTGAGTGGTGCTTTCAGGACCGCCACCTCTGGGCAGCTCTTCCATTCTTGGCTGCAGGCTCCTGTTGTAGACATTTTTATTTCTTTTCCTGCCAAACTGGGGTAGAGTCCCACCCATGTTCTAATTCCTGCCTTTCCCCATAGGACTTCTCCCATTAGGTCTATGCTCAGCTGGATTGCTGCCATGGAGATGCAGGAAATAGGTGGGAACTAGCTGCTGGGAGGATTTGTGGTAGAAGTGTTAGGTTTGGTGGGGGAGGGCAGGAGGACAGGGGAGGGGAAGTAGAGACAGACAGGAAAGTAAAAAAGTGTGAGAACTGCTGACCTATGTCCAAAATAATACCATTATAACCTCCAAAATCTGCCGCTTGTCCTTTAAAATCACATGACATATACCAGTATCCTGAAAACTGGTGTAATCACTGAGTACTATGATAAATGCTTTGTGACTGGAAGGTTAGACCTCCATCCCAATCTGAAGATGGCAAGAGAGAAGGAGAGAGAGATGAAGAGGAGGTAGATGGGTGAAGAGGGGGCAGAAGTGATGGGATTTGAGCTGAGTCTTGCAGGATGAGTAGGAAGGAAAGGAGGGTGAAGGGGGGACAGCACGTGCCATCGTGACCTGGAAGCGTAAGCGTGAAAAAGCTCACTGTCCCAGGGGAGCCATATTACTGAGTCCTTTTCCCAAGCTTCAGCACTTTGTTTACTGTGTTAAATAGCACATCCTTGTCTCAGGTGTCTAGGTAAGGAACTGTTTGGTAGGTGTAAGTCTTGTTTTCACTATTGGAAGGCAAGGCCTGGGACTTGAAGGCTCTGGGTCTTTGTCCTGTTGAAGTCTCTTGGTGACCTATGGTGACAGGGGCATGCTGATACGCAGCTCGGTCACCTTGATTCCTTTTTCTTTCTGCAGCCTGGTGCAAGCGGAATACTGGCACGACCCCATAAACGAGGACACGTACCGCAACCACAGCATCTTCTTGGCAGATATTAATCAGGAGAGAGTACGCACCCACCCAGGCTACCGTAGTTATGCTTTCATTTTTCTATTTGGGACATTTATCAAAAGATCAGCAGTGACTGTTTACCCAAAATATCCCAGGCAGAACCTGGAAACAGTATCGTTTTTTTTGTGGGGGAGCCAGTGCTTCTGAGATTCAGATCCTTTTAGGGAGGCCTCGTTCCCTTTGGCTTTCTTCCCTTAGGTCCTATCCCTTTCCTTAGTGTTGAAGCACAGTCAGCTGGTCAGTTCGGTGCATTGCTGGCTGGCTTGTGCAGAATTTCGCAGCTGCTGTCTTACTGAGGGAAGCCTTCAGTGGGTTGCTTTTGGGTCAAATTTTCTCAGAAAAGAGATTTACTTAGAAGACAAACTGCATTGGTGGGTTGCTTTTGGGTCAAATTTTCTCAGAAAATGGGATTTACTTAGAAGACAAACTGCAAAGGGGACTGTGTGTCCCAAACACAAGCATCCTTTGGGAAATTCTGGTAGACTAGATAGCTCAGTTAATGTTTTCATCTGGAGGTTTTTTAAACAATTTGTTTTTGAAAGAAGGGAAAAATAATAGTATAGCAAAACCACTCAGAAATTGCAGCTTATTTTGCCGTGGCTGTCTCTGGCTAGATGTCTTCCACCTGTATGATGGATACCTGTGCAGTGACAGATTAAGGGTGGCACCTCGGTTAGTGGGTAAAAAGCCAGTCAGCTAGGATGGTAAGAGGCAGCTGTACAAAGTGTATTCTGGGCAGGAAGCTGAAAAAGCAGCCCATACGATGGGGGAGAAACATGGTGTCATGCCTGGGGTCAGGGAGACCAGAGTGCTGGAAGGCTTCACTTCCCGTGCTGGAACCCGAGGGTGATGTCTCTGAGATACTGCTGGGCTTTCCCTCCAGGGTGTTAATGAGTCCTACAAGAAAAACCTGATGGCCCTGAAGAAGTTTGTGATGGTGAAATTCCTCAATGATTCCATTGTGGACCCTGTGGATTCTGAGGTGAGACATTGCTTGGGCAGGCCACAACATGCCAGGAGACCATAGGAGTAAGTGACATGAAAATACAGCTACCTGTTGGGGAAAAATCCTTAGTCCCTCCCACCAACTTTTGGGTAGCGCAGGGGTTCTTCGCCTGAAGTCTCTAAGTGGGACACTGAGGGTTGTAACCAGCCCCACCCCCCCACTCAGAATTGTATGAAAAATGATACAGTTGCATTCTCTGAGGAAGGGTCTATAATTTTTTGATAGGATTTTCAGAGACCCACGACCCAACAAAAAGTTTAGAGCCACCAGCCCAAAGTCTATAAATCCCTAAGGTTGACACTGAGGGTCTGTCTTCACCTGGCTTCAGCCTGTTTTCCCCAGCCTGATCCCCCTTCACTATCCACTTCATACTCTCCGATCAGGCCATCTGTGTACTACTTGAAATGCCCCAGCCCTGGCGTATGCTTTTTCTCTTGCCTACCTTTGTTCAAGCTTTTAAGTCTCCTAGCTTCTCCACCTGATGAGCTTCTGTTTACCTTTCAAGGCCAAACTCAAATCACTTCCTCTGTTATGGATCCCGTCCCTATTTCAGGTAGAATTTGCTCCCTTTTCTAGAATCAGTCAGCCTCTATTTAGTACTCACACATCACGTCAGACTGACCACCCAGGACCAGCAAACCATGGCCTGTGACCCAAATCCAGCCTGCCACCTGCTTTCGTATAGCCATGAACTAAAAATGGTTTCTACATTTTTAAATGGTTGAAGTTTTTTTAATTTGATGGCTTGAAAATTATGTGAAATTCAGGTTTTAGTGTCCATAAATAAAGTCCCATTGGAACACAGCCATACTTGAGTTTTTAAAAATATTGTCTGCAGCTGCTTTTGCATTACAGTGGCAACATTGGCTGCAACCATGTGACTCTTCAAGCTGAAAATATTTTGTATCTGGCCTTTATAGAAAAGTTTGACAACCTCCTACTAAACAATTAGTTGTTTCTGTGCCTTATGAGACTCGAGCTTTTTGAAAACAGTGACCATATATATTCATCTCTGAATGTCTATAGAGTTCAGCACAAGATTTTCAGAGGGTAGCTGCTCCATAATTATAGGAAGCAGAACTTTTGGGAAATTGGAAAGCTCTTTGGAAAGATTAACTCACCTCAAGATCTACCCTTAAAAAAGAGATGACTCACTGTTTTCCCTCCTTACTACACCCTCATGATGGTTAGTTTGTTGGTAGTTGGTAGTCTTAGCTACCATCCAGTCTTAAATTAGTTTGGTGGTATGTGCCATGTGTCTAATCTGCATATTCCTTCCTTTCCTGCAGTGGTTTGGATTTTACAAAAGTGGCCAAGACAAGGAAACTATTCCCTTACAGGAGACCACTCTGTACACAGAGGTAAATGGGTGGGGAGAGGTGCTGTCTTTTTCAGCTCCCAGCTCTTGAAGCTGCTGCGTTTGTGGGTGATAGACCCTGTCCTGTACACTGCAGAGTGTATGTAAGTGCGTATGAGGCATCTGGCCCACGTCTGATAGGGGCGAGGCTCGTTAGACTGCTGTTGGCACTAGTCTGTTAAATGGTGGTTTACAGAAATCTACATCCTGGAGGTCAAAGGACCTTGTACCTCATGGTTTGTAAGCATTTCCAAGGGACACATCATCTAACCCTTTTTTTCTGATAAAAAGGCTTGGAATTGCCTTCCTTTGCTGAGGTGTAGACTGAATCAAATCAAAGAAGCCCCCAGGCATAATGAAAGCAGATGGGCTTTGAAACAGATGCATTTGTTTGTAAATTAGGCACCAACAAGGAGAGCTCCTCCTGCAGGAGTGAATGGGACTAAAATTAACTTTTTTTTTTTTTAGCAGTAGGTGATTTCTCAAGCAGAGCTTGCAGCATTTCAGCCCCTCCAGTTCTACACTAATGATTTTATGTGGGAGATAGACTCTCCCCAAAATGCACAAGTGCTACTCATGTCTGAACCAATTGCTTTCTACTAGAATGTCTTCAAATTTCAGAAACCTGTCATCTACCCTTGGCTTTTCTCCTGCATTTGGTACGCCTCTAGGGTGAGGTAAAAAGGAAGCTAGGGTCTGTTAAGTTTTTGAAATCACAACTCACAACATCCTTATAATGGATCTCAAACTGATCCAGCATTGTCTTAACTGCTCATCTTCCTGCCATATCTGTTCTGTGTCACATAGGCTATGGGTAATGACATTTTCAACTGCAAGATATGAAAGGGTCCCAAGTTGGTATCTAAAGGTTGGATGTTTTAAGTTATCAAGCTAATGCTCTCCTGTCTTTGGGTCACTCCCCCTAACTGACATTTGGAGGGTGTTTTTTCCTCCAGAAGCTGTGGGAAACTTCAGAAAGCAGAATGTAAAATTCTACAGAATAACTTCAACTGCTTAGGGGAAAAAATAAGGTTCCTTTTTGGCATTTTTGACAGTGCACCTAAATTTTAATACCGAGAGAAGATTGCATTTTGAGAATGTATCTCAGGGTAACATTGTATTTCTTTTCTTCAAACCTTTTCATTAAACCTTTTGATTAATTATGGCCTTCCTCTCCACAGGACCGCCTAGGACTGAAAGAAATGAACAATGCAGGACAGCTAGTATTCCTGGCTATAGAAGGGGATCATCTTCAACTGTCTGAAGAATGGTTTAATGCCCACATCATACCCTTCCTTGAGTGAAACCTTTGCAAATTGCACCAGAGCTCAGGGAGCCCCAGCGCTTACAAACCAGTGAAGACTGTTCCCTTCGTGCCCAAGCCTGAGCTTGATCTAGCTTGCAACTAACCCTTCTCTAGCCATCATCTAACATGCCTTTCTCGGAGAGATCTAAGATCCAAATCTTATCCTTTGCCTCATCCTATCAGCATATGGTATTGAATGCAACTTTAATTAGTTAATAACCACAGAGATTATTTTATAACCATTTGATGTCGTCATGTTGCCTTAGGAATCTGTCTGCTTCAAGTCAGCGCCAGTGCTGTGCTCAGGCCCAGAAGACTGAACAAAGCAATGACAGATTCTAAGGGCAGACATCTTTCTCACAAAAATCTAGCCACATTTCAAGCCAAGAGAAGGCTGACACTCAGGTCTGATGCTCAGTTTCGCTGGTGGGGACTTAACAAGTGCGTGGAGTATTCCTTGGATGTTGCTGTACAATCTGAGGCTGCCCCCCCCCCAGTACAGTGTCTTCTGTGGTATCTTAGCAATGATTAGATTCTGCTAGCCCACCATCTTGCTTCTTTTTGTAGCACTTTTTGTCTCCTCGGGTAGTGATAAATTAGTTGCTCTGTCACAAAAGGAGGGTAGTAACACCCAATAGGATTGCTACAGGGAGGAAGTGTATGTATTGCTTAACTTGGGTGGGGGTGGGAGGTGGGTGGCAGAGAATGTAGGAATGGAAATGCAAAATGGGCTGGCAGGTTCTTTACATTCCATCCTTGATTAACTTGTCCTTATGACTAGTGATCTGGATTCTAAAATCACTGTTATAGGCATTAGCAGGGAATAGGAGGAAAAGTGTGAAGAAATATTGACCAGTACACTTAAAACTTGTTTCTAATGTGTTTTGTCAAAGATTATTTGCCCAAAAGGCTTGGAGAACATTGCATACCCCTTTTCTCCTCTTGGAGATCAACCCATATCAGAATATTAAGGAATCTGAGAATTCCTGTTATAGTAAAGAAAACCATAGTCTACCATTCCCCATACTATTTAAGCAGATACCTTACTTAGCCCCCACTCCCCCACCTATGAAAACCTGTTACTTTTTGGAAGACTCGTGCAGAATGCCAGTTTGGGGAAATGACCAGCTGTGCACGAGAGAAGTACCTTGGTAGTGCTGTGAGGTTCGCCTTTTACAGTCACTGTCCTCAAACCTCGTTTTCCAACTAAAGATGAGCCTTGAGAGCAAGAAGTCGGGGGGGGATGTGAAAAGAACTATATGAGGTTGTCTAAAATAAAGAGTAGCTTCTTATCCTTGGTCATGTTTTCAATGTTCTTACATCTCTGTACAGCAATTATAGGTAAATACTAAGCAAGTTTGGTATTAATTTTATTCTATTTTCTGTATAACTTTAAGTACATAAAGGTTTATTTCTACAGGCCTCAGAAAATGGGTAGAAGTCACAGGACAATCTCTCTTCCCACCAAAAAAAAAAAAGTTGCATATTTTGGTCTGTAATTTACATTTGCAATGCTTTGCGAGATTCTTACATAAGACCTAAAACCAGCCTGCAGTAGAGATTTTAGTCCTTTGTTCAGGTGCCTGGATGGAAGCCAAAAGCTGTTTAGCACGACAAGGCAAAGGGGACAGTGAAGATGGATGACAGGCACCTAGCATGGAAGGAGGAAGAATGCCCGATTCCTTGGAATGGTGTTTTTCCCCTCTCTTTTTAAGTCATCTCTATAGGAACGTGCTGGCACAGATCCCAGAGAAAGAAAGGGCCCAAGACTACTTTAACTGGCCTGGGAGCAGGGCACTGTCACAGCAGCCAGTATAGGAAAGCGTACTGTCTCAGGTTCAGGTGGAGCCAGGATGGAATGCAGAATGAAATGAATACTTGGAAGAAACAATTTTGCTTGGAATGCTAGATGGCCAAGCCTCAGCCTTTGGTCCAGTGCAACCCTTGCCTCAGTTGTCAACAGTGAAAAATTAGTCTGGTTAGAAGAACCACCTTGGGATCACACCAGCTTCTGTTACCTTCATGTTCATTGTTAGGGAAAGATTAATTTGTGTGAACTTTCTGAGCTGTTAATTCCTGGGGACTGCGTTATTCTTCCCCCCAAACTGTTTATTGGTGGAATAATCCCCAAAGGCTGAAAGCTGAAACACACCAGTCCTGGTTTGCAGTCCCTTAAGAATGGACTGGAGGGTGCCGTTAAGCTGATATGGAAAAGCTGCGCCTTCCTGCACAAGATCAACTGACCTGCTATCCCACCCAAATCTCAGCCTGAGGTATATTTCAGTGAAGGCAGGTAGCTGTGCTTCTCAAAGCAGAGAAGCAATTTAAGAGCAGAAAGGTAGAGGAAATCTAGAAAAGAACCGTCTTCATACAGATTTATCCCATGGTGTGAGGGGAGAGGGCAAAGAACCCAGTGGCACTTCGCTTATCCAGCAATTTCTGTCACTGTGGTGACCAATTTCTTCCCGTTCCATAGGGTCTTGAACTGCTCAGGGACAGGGAACTCATTCTGCAAATAAAGAAACAACATGTTGAAGTATGAGCTAACAAATGGAAGTTGGGGTTTAATCTTAGACTTCTCTTCCAATGCTTGCTTCCATTAAGCTCTGAGAGTGGGTAGGATGTAGTGAGAGAAACTCACCTGAAAAAGCATGGCTGTCACTGGCAGCGGCACACCTTCCATGACTGGGTTTGACCCCTCAGTACAGAAAGTCTATCAACTAGCTTTGTCTAATGTAAGGAGTCTTCAGTCCCTTTTGTTTTTAGATCATATTAAAAAGATCAGGAAACTTACAAAGTCACCGCCTTCTGTAGGAATGAGGACATTCATCTCAGAAGATTTGGCACTGACTATCTCACAATCCAGGGAATTCTTGCTCAGGTAAACATGGCAGCCATCTGTTTTGTTGATGGAAATAGTTGGCACTTTACCCATTACCTGCAGAGAACACCAAGAACGGTAAGTCCTAGCAGCTGGGGAGAACAATGGTAATTTGCAGGAAAAGCTTTCACTGTTTTACATGATTCAGCAACGACATGAGAAGTGCACAGGTGCTCAGCAGATATTGGATACTGAGGGCAGGCTGGGATGGGTGCTGGAAAGAGCTCACTCTAAGAGCCAGCTCCTTTCCTGCCACATCCAAAGCAGCTCAGCTTACAGACTTTGTAGAATCAGATTCCCACCCCGGTAACATCTGTGGGTCGGCTGTGTCTCTCTCAATTAATTCCTCAGGGACCAAAGGAAAGAGCCAAGATATTGAGTTACCTGAACTTTGACATCCCTACTATTGATTATCTCCACAATGCCCACCACATCATCGAACACCAGACCGAGTTTCTTACAGTTATCTAGGAGGAGAAAGGGAGCAAGTCAACGGTGTAACTTTAAAGAAAAGTAATATATTTAAGAATCTTAGGAATTCAGGCTTTAAACAGAGCCTGCCTAGGACAACAAAAACTCACCTACTGTAATAGAGTTAATTTTGCCCTTGACTTGCAATGTCGTGTTAACACACTTGTATATGTAAGCCACCTGTTTCAGCTCTGTGTCGTCAATCACCAGGTTGGAAACATTCTCCTGATTTTCCTGTAAAAGAGATACCCCTTTTCAACAACCTCATCACTAAGCACACACCACCCCCCAGTTTACCCCAAATTTTCCTTCTTGAAATCTAAGCCAGAATGCTACATTCCTTTGGTTGGGCTCTGTTGAAACCCTGTCCACTCCTTGTTTTCCTGGTCCTAGCATTAACTCACCACTCTCCACTTTTTGCCCTCCAGTTCAAGTAGAGGTGGCTCCTTCTTTGTGGCTGGTTTATGGGACGGACTGACTCCTGGTTTAGGTGCTGAGAATGGTTTGGGGCCACTTCGTACTGGACCACTCTGAGCCTTCAGGGCAGGGTTCTTGTGAGTCTTCATGTCGTCAGATACATGTTTCAGGGCTGTAACAACAATGAGCTGCCTTGTTTCTGTCCTTCATATCAAGGCTTCGGACTGAGGCAATAACTAACTTCTGCTATCAGAAGTTAGACTGATCCTTAACAAAAATGTCAAAAACTAGAGCCTTTGAAATGTTCTCTCAAAACCAATTTTAGAGAAACACTTTTTTTTAAATGAGGAAATTTCTTTTAAAGATTTTATTTACTTTTAGAGAGAGGGGAAGGGAAAAAGAGACGAGAAACATCGATGTGTGAGAGATACATGGATGGGTTGCCTCTTGCACACCCCCAAATGGGGATCTGGCCGGCAACCCAGGTATGTGCCCTGACTGGGAATCAAACTGGTAACCTTTCGGTTTGCAGGCTGGTGCCATACCAGCCAGGACTACAGAAGCACTTTCATAATCTCTCTTCTACTCCAAGATTAATTTACATAGTTCCATTCAGAAAAATAAAACATGGTTGTATGGGGGGAATACGTAAATGGAGAGAAAAAGATCTAGAAAGACACATACCAAATATATACTCAAAAAAGATGTAGCCCTGGTTGATGTGGCTCAGTTGGTTGGAGCATAGTCCCATAAACCGAAAGGTCGTGGGTTCGATTCCCAGTCAGGGCACATGGTTGCAGGTTCGGTACAGTTCCGGGTCAGAGATCAAGCAAGAAGCAACTGGTTGATGTTTCTCTCACATTGATGATTTTCCCCCTCTCTCTCCCCCTCCCCTCCCCTCTCTCAAGATCAATAAGCATGTCCTCAGATGAGGACTAAAAAAATAAAGAATATAGTTTTTAAAGCAACAGAGGAAGAAAAAGTAACATGTAACAGTAAAGAAAATTTATAAAAAGAAAAAAAATCCTTGCCCACAGCTAACCCACTGTCCCTCCAAATCAGTGTTAACATTTGAAACTCTCCTAATAATTTCCTCTATTGATAGTTGCTTTTTATTTGGTTATAGCCATACACACTGTTCAATTTAATTTAACCATTTAATACTTTAATAAAAATTTTTCATGTTAATTTAGTCTCTAAAATGTGTTTTGTTTTGTTTTGTTTTTAATTTTAGGGAAAAGATTCTATTACTACCCTTAGCAGACTGTCCAACTCCTTGCTCCTGCTCCCAGACATGGCCCAACATACTATATAACCAACACTGAGTGGCTTTCTAGCTTTACCAGTTCTGGATTTTTCTTAAACACTGCTTGGTTTACTATAGAAAGATTTAATGGCAGCATAGTATTTCACCAAGAGGACACACTACAGGTAACCATTTCCTTACTGTCAGATATTTAGGTTATACCATTTTTAGTTACTATAAATAACATTATAAAACTTGTGATTTATTTTAGATATTTTTATAGGTAGATCCCTAAAAGAAGGCTGTATAGCTTAGACTTCCATCTGCTGTATATAAGGATGTCTATTTTCTCTGTACCAATATTAGGTAATTCTTATGCAAATTTCCCATGACTATTTTATGTCCTCTGAGGAAATCAACCCCAACACAATGACGTCCCAGACAGACCATGTAGTGACATGTAAAAAGCTCTAGGGAAAAACTGATGACACTATGCCTTGGCCTAACATACCTCCTATGAGGTGGAGAGCTTCCCACATCTACAATCCCCTAATTTCCATTTCTATTTAAGCCAACTTTGCTGTCCTTTCGGGCAACTTTAATATGACACCCCAAATTAATTATCCCACACACAACCAGAGTTCTGGTTATAGACTTGTCCAATCTCTAGTTAGTAAGGTCTGACCCAAGCAAGCTACTTAGTATACCAACTCTTCTTGCCAAAGTATTCACCTACCATGTGTGATGCTCTCTCCCTGATTAATCTGCGCAAACAGTGCTGAGCGTGAAGCAGTGTCATCTGACCCTGAACTGGTAGGCATTGGTGGGGGAGGTGGGCCTGGTGGTGGGGGAGGAGGACCTGATCCAGCAGAGGGTCCAGATGGCAATCCACTCAGTTCTTTTGCCACAGGCCCCTGGAAAAATAAGTACAGACAACAGAGTCATCCTCTCTTCCCCTCCCTACCATTTCCAATCGGTTCCTACATGTGTCCAAGGTACACTGGGTACCCACTGTAGCTCCCTGTCCAATAAAGCTTGGTTTTATTCCTTCTCACCACTTCCCATGGATCCAACCCAGCTCTTTTCAACCTCACATTTTTCCTTTGGCCTCTACCTAATTCCAGCTCTAAACCCATACTTCTAAAAATCTAAAGTGTGTCACCAGTATCTCAGACTCAACAAGTCCAAGACTGAGTTCATCATCTTCTGCTCCTTCCCCTACCTGTGCAATCACCCCCTTGTCTCTATTTCAGTGAAAGACATTAGCACCCAAGCTTGACTGTTCAATCTTCTCTGAGTCTTTCAACCCCCTCAATCTCATTAAATCTTTCTTTTCTTTTGATTATATCTCCTGCAAATTCTTTTTTTTTAAAGATTTTATTTATTTATTTCTAGAGAGGGAAGGGAGGGAGAAAGAAAGAGTGAGAGAAACATCAATGTGCGGTTGCTGGGGGTCATGGCCTGCAACCTAGGCATGTACCCTGACTGGGAATCGAACATGCGACACTTTGGTTCACAGCCCGCGCTCAATCCACTGAGCTACGCCAGCCAGGAGAGCAAATTCTTTTCTATCAGCTCCTTAGCACCATGAGCACTTCCAGAGTCTGAGCATGTGCCCTTATTCCTAACCTATAAACTGAGAGTCTCTTAAAGACAAATATGATAATTATCACTTTCTTACTCAAATATCTATGATAGTTATCACCTATTATAAAGTCTAAAAGTCTCAACCTACCTTCCTTCTCTGCTTTTTCTCTTAAAAGTCCAACTATCACTCTTTATTGAAGCTGGAGATGACTAATATCTATATTTACTCTGTATTTACTTTGTTTAAGCTATGCTATTTGCTGGTATCCCCATTTCTCCCACTTCTCACTGGCCTTATAACTTGCAAAAAGTCTCAGATCAGAGTAAACCCCTTCAGTACAATTTCTCCCAGTGAGATTCACTCTTCTTTCTCATACTCTGTAGTGTATCTTTATAAAAGCATTTAGCTTGGTGATTTATGTTGGGGTTTTGTATCTATATTTTTAAGTTTCAAGAGAGCTGGGATAATGTAGCTCATTCATCTGTCTCCCCTCCAACCCAATCACTATCCCTCACCCATGTTTACTTAAATTGAACAGAAATGAATACACCTTCTCTAACCCTTGCTTTCTTTATAGTCTTTTTTTCCCCTTTCCTTCTCTCCTTCTTTCTATCATCCTCTTAAATCTTTGTGGTACCAAAGTCTAAGAAGCCTGTGGATCCTGTTTTGGACGGATAAAAAAGAGGATTCACTGACCGTTTTGCTCCAGGCCAGTCCGGTGGTATGGAACTCTTTAATGTAAGCCTGCAGCTCTGCCCATATACTCAAGTAAGTTTTGACCCAGTCCACATGCTTCTTATCCCTGGAAAATTTAAAGAATTCATCACAAGCAGTCAGGATACATCACAATAGTGATTCCATAACCCCTCCTTTCTGTGAGCTCACAGCCTCCTCCCTGGTGTTTCTTAGGCTATGCTCAATAGCAACTTTTCTATCATCACTAAGATTTTCTTTTTTTTTAAGCCATTCCCTAATTAGACTGAAGTCCATGAGGATAAGGACTTCAGATCATATCTCTTTCTCCTACAGCAGTATTCTTCAAACAACTTCTTTTAAGTAGCAAATGTTTTTCACAGTAGACCTTAAGAAGAACCTAATACATAAAACTGATAAAAGCAGTCATTCTGTGCATGAACCCATAATAAAGGAGATCTCTTGAGCATCGCTGTGGCACTCTAGGACTCCCAAGGCTATAGCACAGTGCCTTATGTCAAAATATGCCCCTCCTCAAAAACAAAAAAAATTCCCTTTAGGAAGAACTAATCAGCATTAAATGATAGAAGTAGTACTGTAGTATGGTTCAAGTTTCCTCTCTTCTTATATATGAGTTGGAAGACTTTATGGTTATTTAGGATAAGTCCTCATTTTCTCAACTGTAAAGTGATGGGGTATAATCAAAACATGTGACACTTAATTCCAGGTTCCTGGAAGGACTGAGGAGGTGCCTGGTGTTCTGGGACATACTTCACACACACAAAAGCTTACTCCTTCATAGCAGTTACTTAACAAATGTTGGTTAACTGATGATGAACGGAAGAAAGAGAGGGTTTGGGTAGCTATGCAGCCCTATCTACAGTTATTCCATACAATGACTCCCTTTACTTAATACCTGCACTGGCTAGGCAGCCTTCCTCTCACTTTACCTGACCACATCAATAGTCAGGGTAATTTCCTAGTAAATTTTACTGAAAACTTTGCCACTGGGACAGTTGGAAATCCTCCACAAAGGAACAAAACCTTATCTCAACTGGCTAATTAAAAGGCATTAGTTCAGAAGTATCAAACTCCTTTTCACCAGAGGCCATATCAGCCTTGTTGTTACGTGCAAAGAGCTGAATATAATTGTAGGACTGTATAAATGTAACTACTCCTTAACAGTTAAGCGAGAGCTCAGCGCTGCTACAGGGTAGAAACAAGGTGCTGGGCGGAATTCCGCTCATGGGCCTTGTGTTTGCCACCTCTGCAATAGTCCATTTTATCTCCAGCAAAACCTACTAAACCTGGAAGGGTATGCATTAGAAGACTAAAAGAGCCTCTACAAACCCTGGAGAAGAAGCAGAAGTGGAAGGAGAAACACATCCTGCTTGCAAATGCACCTTGCATGAGCCAGTTTCTACCAAACTTTCCAGAAAGCAGCCCTGAGATAGGAGAACCAACACAGCAGTCAAGGGCAGCCTTAACCCCAAAGCACTACTCTAGCAAGTATCTAGCTGGATTTGTCCCTTATCCTTTGAGGAATGGCTGGACTTACACATCTTTGTACTCCTTGAGGACTCGGTTTGTATAAAACATGGCGGCATCATTCATTTCTTTCACATAAGGACCAGGCTTGGGAGCCTAGAGAAAGAGAAGCTGTCAGTTACTCAGAGCCCATCCAGCCCTATCCCTGTATCTTTTCATCCTATCCCTTCCCTCCCACAGAAGCTGCTGTGCTCACCATAGCCACCCAACCCAGGGCCTGGATACTTTCGCTGACAGCTGACAAGTGATTGAACAACTTGCTGCCTCGGTTCTTCTCCCGAAACGTTATCACTTCTTGGATCTGCTCTGAGATGGGAGCCAACAAGTCAGAAAGCTTGTTCTAGAAAAAGATGCAGGAAGATTCACGTTAGAGTCTTTCTATAAAAGTTTGTATAGGTTGGTCAGCTGTGATTCTGAAGGCAAGAATTCTTTATGGACTATAGTGAACATCCAAATAAACTTTGTATTTGCCATGCACAGAGTCATATGGCTAAAATACTGCTTATCATTTCTTCTTCCTCACAGGGTTCCAACTGCTCAGGCTGGATTTTATGGTTCTTCATGATCAGGACTCATACTCTGGCTGTATCACAGAATTTTACCATTTCAGTCTCTTTTCTGTCCCATTAAACAGGAGATACTAGTTCATTTCTGGGCTTTACTCATGATGGTCTATCCAAATGTTCTTCATGCTTCATGAGGAACAGCCCCTCCAACTCCAGCCACACTGGCCTCCTACGGCATTCATTGTCAGCATACCCACTTTTGGCACCGTATCACACACCAGCACAAACTGTTAATGAATCCATGTGAATATGCTTTTGTCCCTCATTAATTCTTCAAAAACAAGGGTTTTGAATTAGCCCTTTTTTATAATCTTTATACCCTTCAACACACTGCTAGCCATATAGCAGCTGCTGAGTAGAGATCTGTTGAATAAAATGTAATTACAGGGTTTGGCAAGTGAGTAGGCAGCTTAGCAAAAAATAAATAAAGAAAGAAATCTCGTGTTTGTGTTTTTATCCTTTCTCCAGAGCTCAGTTTCCTGAACACCTCAATTATCAGCTCTTAGCATGACAAAAGTCTAAAGCAGGAGTCAGCAAACTTTCTGTAAAGAGCCAAACAGTAAGCATTTCAAGGCTCTGCAAACCATACAGTCTCTGTTGAAATTTCTCAACTTTGCCGTTGTAGTGCATAAGCAGCAACAGACCACACATAAAAGAATGGACATGGCTGTGTTCCAAAAGAAATTCATTTACAAAATAGGTGGCAGACCAGATTTGGCCTGCGGGCTGTTGTTTACCAGTCCCTAGTCTAAAGCAAGGGAAATAAAACAGTGTCTCAGCTGCCTGTTTTGTTTTAAAGAAGAGGTTTAAACAAAATGCTTTAACCATTCAAGACAAATTAATAATTAGCTGCCAATATATTTAACAATACCTTATGCTATTTTTTATATTATTTAGGCATGCAGAGGGTCAAAGGTTTTAGTACAGCATTAGCAGAAGTTTTATTTCCCCCCTGCCCAGGAAAAGACAAATGCAAAAAAAGACAGAACAAAACTAAAATCTTTGGCTCCAAGAAAAATCTAAGCTTTCTCTAATTCCTTTCTACACCTTGGCAGCATAAAATTTGGAGGTAGAAGTAGTTAAAGGGGAGAAAGCAGTAATTTAAAAGTTTTAGAATCTCTAGAGCATTATTAGAGCCCATTTCACAGTGAAGCAAGAGAACCACTCTTTGTACCCAAGGGGCTTAAGGGACAGTATGATGAATTTAGCTTTGACCAAGAGGCTAAAAAAAGGCTGTATATTAAGGAAAGCAGCACGGCTTTCCATATGGAGCACACCCACATCTTTCCCCACCTCCTCCCCACAGGCACCATTTTCCTTACCTCTCTCTCCCTCCCCTAAGCTCCAAGGGCCCTTCTTTTGCCTCTGTAACTTGTCTCCTGAGCCCATTTCTTCCACAGCTCACTTTTTCTACCCGTGACTTTCTAAATAAATGTTCTCTTAAAAATGGGGCGGGGTGGGGGGTGGGGGAGACAAGCAGCAAAGTCCCAGGGGTAACTACAATCCTAGGTAAAATGAAAGGCTAGTAGAGCCCAATAAATACTCAATGGCCATTCCCAGAGTCTGACTCTACTGCTGGAAATTGGTGTGTTCATACATGAGGCTGGTAGGTTTATTCTAGCATGTTGTGACAATGCAGTAGAAACCTCCCAACTTCTCCTAAGCATCAAACCAAAACAAAACTGCTAGTGAACTTACACCTGCTGGCTGCTGGCACTGAGAGGCTGTAACCAAGAGAGCTCGCTCCAACTTCAGACCTGTATGGACCATCTCCGCCTGCCGGAAAGGAAAAGAATCAGCTCTCAATGACACATTACAGCTCGAGAGGTACTGATAAGAATAACCTGAAACCTCCACTTCCATGTACTTTGGTAGCAACCCAGGCACTCCACATTGCTTTCCTCAGGTATTCCAGATTCCAGGGACTGATAGCAGAATTATATATACAACTGTTCCTATTGGAACTAATCAGGGATGCATAGCTAGGAAACGAATGAGGGCTAACCTTAATGACATCAAATTAGCAAATGCACATGCAGTGTGATATGAAGTTCACTGAAAAATCCCTCCTGCATCTCATCACCAAAAACCAGACAGGAATAAAGGCAAAGGCCTACATTTATGCCTAAATTCTCCAAGCATTTACTCCTTGAGGTTAAAGCTGTTTCTCAAATGTTGGATCATGATCCACTCACACATAACTAATCGAATCAACTTAGTGAGCCATAACCTGTACTTTATTAAATGAAGTAGATCAAAATAAAACAGGAAGTACAGTACATCAGCTTGAAATTACTTCCCCTCAAAAAGTACAGTACAGGTACTATAAGCACTATTTTGTGAAACATATGTTACAAATACGTATTTTCTCATTTAGGGTCATAGTCAAAAAATGTTTAAGAAACATGGGGCTATAAGCACTATTAAAACATAAAAATTCAAATAAGGTAATCTTTTTCTTCTGGACTTGCATTTTTAAAATATAAAAGTATGTGTTTTCATTTTTTTTCAAATGTTACAAACTGTATAAAGTAGAAATGCAAACCCCCAGCACTCCTATCTAAGTCCCAGTTCCACTCTCCAGAGCTAACACTACTGCTAACAGATGGTATATAAGAGGCTCAAAATAGATCTTCCAAAGATCAAGCAAGCAATCCTGCTGAAGGGCCGGGAAGATCACAAACATGGTTACTGCTTACAATGAATCACTCGGAAGACTAGCAAGAAGATTTTGGGTCCCAAAGAGAGAGAATAAATATATATATGTGAGTGTGTGTGTGTGGGGGGGGGTGACGACGTTGGTGGCAGCACATGCAGGGAAGTGGGTGGAATAGAACCTGTCATTGTCTACTTCATACTCTTGCTGTGGGACAAGTGAAAATAACTCACATTAGCATAACCAATAACTATAAAGCACAGTTTCAGAAATGCTAAGTCATGACAATGACTCTTTTGAATAAGGCCTGGTTACATAACACATTGGGATGAGACTGGTAGCAGTTCTCCCTACAAAGATGAACTGAGCCATGTTTTATGCACAAAGCAAGTTATCTGTATAAAAGAAGCCCACACAGATTATGTGATAAAAGCAGGGGGCCTAGAAAAATCTGAGGAACAGTTTCAGTGCCTGGACTGAACTCTAGGCAAGAGTTGGCTAGAAAGGAGCCAGGAACCTTGCAAGGGGCTCTTAAACCAAGGATGATCAGGATTTGAAGAAAGCCATTAGTATGTTTTAAAAGAAGGGAAAATGGGCCAAACATCCTTACGTGTTTTTGCACATCTCCTCCAATCTCTTTACTGATCTTCAGGTACTCTGCCACAGGACCAGCAAGCAGTGAGTCAAAGGCTTGCACAAAAGGAACTGCTCCGGCTGCAGACAGACCCACCACAAATAATCAGTTATGCAGCAGAAACTCAACGATTTGTTAAAAGGCACTTCCATATGAAACTGGAGAGGCAAGGCTACCCAGTAACAGAATACTAGAACATGAGTCAGGAAACCTAGGTTCCAGTTCCAACACCAACGCTAACTGGCTGTGTTCCCTTAACTAAGACCTTTTTCCTCTCTGAGCTTAATTTTATACATAAAATGAAAATAAACATAATGATCCCCAAGGTTCCTTTTGGCTCCAACATTCTATGATTCAGTTGGGGCATATGCCAAACAGCCAATTTGCCAATTATTTTCAGAGAGAAAATTTTAACATTACTTGTCATTTGTCTTACACTGGAGTCATTCTGCTAAAGAAAGAACAGGAAATAGCACACAAGCAGGAAGTTCTTGCATTAAAATAACTTAACCACAGGCCTCTCTGCACAAGTCACTTCCTCCCTTATCTGTTCACAGCAATACGAATAACAGGCAATGAACTTTCTAGACTAAGCATTTTGGGAAGTTAGCTCCAAAGGAGAGAATACACTGTGACAGAAAACTTCAGGCCAAGACACTGAGTCTTCACTCAAAGTATTCTGCTGGACCAAGCATTGCTTACCTTTGGGAGCATTGTCTCCGTGCCCACAGTGCATGTCAGAGGCATGGGATACTGCCTCCAGGCGGCCCACGGCCCTCTCCAATCTTTCTACCAGATTTTGCATGTCAGCCATAATGTACCACCACCTGTTGAAACAGATCACATGTCATTTTTGTTTTATTTTTTATTTTTTTGCTGGGGAAGGACTGCAGGACTGCCCTGGCTGAGGAGGAGGAGGAAGCCGAGGTGGGGTAGCCCCTGCTGCGTGGCTGCCAGGTGCCTCTGCCTGCTAGGCCCTTGCCCTTGGCAGTGGACCGGTAAGGCTAAGGGTACAGGTACAAGTAGGTGGCGCACGCTGGGTACATGTAATCATCCCACAGGGAAGCCATAAGCACAGCCCCTCATTTTTGTTTTAATATTACGCACATACCTAAGGGAAAAAGACAGTACTATTTGTGGTGAAGAGGATGCCAATTCTGAGGAACAGAATCATTTAATAATAAAATAAGATGGAAAAGTAGTCTAGCATATTTGCAAAATCATAAAGACCTCATTAAACAAGAGAACTACCCAGGAAAAGGTATTCACTGAAAGCAAATTTTACTCAAATATTTACTGAATATTTATGATACCACAAAATTTTGAATTTACAAAGTATAGTCAAATTTATTATCTTAGTTTGTGCCTTCCAAAAGCTATTCAGGCATAGAAGGAAAATTATTACACTCTTAACAACAGGAAACTTAATTTCAAGGAAGTTAAGTGACTTGCCTATGATCACATGATGAGATAATAGGGAAGCCAGTACTCAAATTCAAGCCCGGCTCTAACTTCAGTGTTTTTCTTACATCTTGCTGCCTGCACATGAATGCCCCAAACCAAGATGAATAAGATATAATCATGCCCTCAATAACTTATAATTAATACAGGACACTTGACATGCACATTAACTAACAACTGTAAAATAGGAAAAAAAATTTCAGGTGACCTAAGAGTAACAGGATTTCAGAGAAGAGAACAGCTGAAAGGATCAGATAAGCACAGCATGGAGAAGCTGCCATTTGAGTCAGGCTTCAGGTAAGAATGGGCGGGATCTGGATATGAGGTAGGGGAGAACAGACACATCCAGGAGAGCTTCTTTCAGATCTTTCACAAGTACTAATTTATCTGAACTAGCCTCATTCAGCGTCCACTAGCCTACAGACAGTATGTTCCACCAGAGAAGGGACCTCCTCTGACTTGTTCCCTATTATGCTCTACCATCCAGACCACTACCTGACAGGTAGAAGATGTTCAATAAACATTTATGAAATTAATGTACCTGAAGTATAGCACTCCAAAACTCCAACGGACACGTGTTCTGAAAGCTGCCCACACTATACACATAAATAAGTGTTAAATGTTATCAATATACATAAAATGCTTGATATCATAACTAATCTCATAAATATCAGTGACATTTCAATCAAAGTAGTCTTGACTTGGAGATATTCCATTTCAAAGCATTAATTAGTTCAGGTAACTGAAGCAGAATTGACTCAACTCCCTGGAAGCTGCCTAAAATGACCATAGCAATTACAATTCCCCCAAAGGTGACATGCCAGAATATCTCAACTTAACACACTGTCCTTCCTGTGGAAGAGATAAGCAGCTCACAAGATAAAGTATCCCTGTTCTTTCTTTTCTATGTATGCACTCTGGTCTCTCTGGGCCGCGTGAGTTGCCAGAGACTGTTGTTTAAAAGAGATCAAAGAAAAAAATGAGAATGAAAACCAAATAAACCTTTCCATTCCTGGGCCTGGAGATGCAGCAGAAGCTTCTAACTCTCTGCTCTACTCATAGATGGAGAAGACTAGAAGCAGCCAATATATCTCCCTTATGTTATGCTGCCTATGCTGCATACTCTCCAGGGTCAAACTCACATACAATCTACCATACTCAATAAATCACAAGGGAAAAAGCAGCACATGCAATAAACTACCAAGCTATCTTCCATTAACAGACAGCACCTGCTCTAAAACATTTTCCCTTCATACACAATGGAAGCTACAGGTCAAGGCTGGTGTTAACATGGAAACACAGTACAAATGTCTCTAGAGACTGCCAGGGTTGGTGAACACTTACCAATCTTAAACACTTAATACAGCTTCATAGGATTTTGGCTCCTTTTTCCCATTTCACGTATAAGTTTTAATTGCTATATAAGCTACAGTTCTGCTATCTAACTTAAGCAAAAGGAAAAGGGCAATACAGCTATCATTTATAGCTAATCTCATCCTACCACTAACCAAATATAGAACAGCACCTACTTTTTTGTTCTTGGTGGCGACGAAATGTGAGATATGGGAAAGAATGTCCAGAATTGAAGGGACAAAAAACATGCCTTGTCTCATTATCTTCCCACACATTCACATTCTTTAGGTGGTTGGTCACGTCCACTCCCAAACTTTCCACTATCATTACTGTAGCACCACCCAGCCTGCTTGCAGAGTGGTAACACCACAACCACCTACGGGCTAACAACTCCCAGAGCAGCATATCCAGTGCAGGCCACTCTTCTAGGACTCAGAATTTTAGCTCCAGCTTCTTCCTAGACATTTACACATGGATGTACCAAAGGCATCTCAAGATGAAATGTCCGAAACAGAACTCATCATCTTCCCACCCTCAAGCCCCACAGTCTCAGTAATCCAACACTACCATCAATTACCTGACTAAGCTAGTAACCGGGGAACTGCTGAGCAGTAAGTATAGTGGGTTAAGAGCATTGTCTTTAAAGTCAGACAGATCGGGGTTTGCATCATAATAGCACTCACTGGCCCTGTGACTATACGTGTTACCAGTCTTTCTGAGCCTCAACTTCCTTATCTGTGTAATGGAGACAATACAAAATTCAAAAGGCTGCCATGCAAATCAAGAGGAAATAGCTGTACGGATACTTGGCTCAGTCGTAAAAAATAGTAAGAATTCCCTAAGTGTTAACTAAATTATCTTCTCTACTCCCCAAATCTAATCAGTCATTGAAATCCACCAGCTCCATCTTGCATATCTCTTTAAATAATTACCCTTCCCTTCATCCTGATGGATGAAAATTAAGTCTTTGTGACTCTGCCTAAATTCCTGCAATAACCTCCTTGCCAGCCTCCCCTAATTCCAGTAACACACTTTCTTTATCCAGTCTCCGTATTATTGTACCACAGTGATCCCTCTTAAATGCAAATGTAATTATGATAGTCTTTTATTTTAATACTATTCAGAGTAAAGCCCAAACAAGGTTCCCATAATCTGGTCCTGCTTTAAACCTACCACTCCTTCAGTTTTAACTCTTGCCACACCTTTTCTCAGCACACCACAGTAATCCAGGACAATTTGCATTTTCCAGAAAAAGTCATGCTTTCTCTCACTTCCTAGCCTTTATAATGCTATCATCTTTGCTTGGTTGCTTTCCCTTCCCAATTTGCCCCATCTCAGAACTCCTACTGCTTTCTAAGACTCACCTAAGGTGTTGCCTTCTCCAGGAAGCTTTTCTAATTAGGCATGCTTTCCCCCCTCTCTGCAACTCCTATCACTCATTAAGTCTTAGGTAAGGTATCACCTCCTCAAGGAGCATTTCCAGTGTGTGCTCCCATGACACTGCACTCATCTCTACCACACATTTAACACACAGGTTTGAGATCACTTATTTAAAGTCAACAGGCAATTAGCCACCCTAGGGCAGGAACCAGGTCTTGTCTTTGTGATTCCAGTACTACAAATGTACTAGGTGCTCTAAACACTAGTTGGTCTAAGCGTTCTTAGAGGGGGAAAAAAATAACAACAATAATGGCCTTTACGCTTTCTACCCTCAACTCAAGTTTGGCTGCCTTCTCTCTATAACAGATTTGGGAAGAAGTGGTTTTTCTCCCTTTTCTTTTCTTGTTTGCTTCTCTGCTTTAGGATCTTACAAACACCCTGATCTTTCATATAAATTCTGCCTTCTTGGGCAAAAACATCACATTGCTATAGATATCTTCAAACCAACTCTATAGGAAAATAAGTTTGTTTATTAGATTATATAACATTAATTTAAAATAATACTCCCTTATTGCTATGCTTTATATCACCTATCTGTTGCTTCTTTTAAGACTTCATTTTTTAAAAAGACTTAATTCTATGAGGTATATTATGAAAATATTGATCCCCCTCTTTAGAATGAAGAAACTGACATAAGTGAAAAAGCCTGCCAGATATCAACCAATCAGTGGGCAGGGAACCTAGGTATGGAGCACAAACTTTCTGAAACCTAGTCTGAGTCTCTTCCCACCGCCTCACATAGCTTTTAAGCAATTAAGTGACTATGTGGTTCATCAGAGCATCCAGTCTGCACAGCTTGCTGAGCACAGTACTGTGAATTCAAGGCCTCTTTATGGTGTCTTTAGTTACATTATTAGTGGCTTTCAATTTTCTCCATAGAGGCCAGTACTTCTCACACTTAGGCTAGATGACATATGTCTGGAAGGCAAATGTTTAAAATAAGGGTTTCCCCAAAAATTATAGAATTGCAAGAGCAGAAAAGTCTACCTAATATTGTTCCTTACCATTTCTGATTAACAACAGCCAAGAACTGTATGTAAGCTTCATAAATAAATGTACAGATTCCCAACTATTTAAGCATTTATCATAAAAGCTTCAGAAAGAGAGGTGGTCCTAATTATACAAACCCAAATAAAACTAGGATTCAGGACACCAAGGTCTGAGTCCCAACTCTCCCACATATTAACTGTATTACTTCAGGGCAGCCATTTAATGGATCCTCACCTAGCACAGAGATGTAAGGATTGAAGGAATACATTTTATAGATAGTTATTTTGGGAGCCTTCAAATGCAGTTCAAATGTAAACTGTTATCATTGCATACTGTGTGCTAGAATGCGGACCCCCAGGAGGAGGGATATTTGTCCATTCTCTTCCTCTCAACCCCAGCCCCATTCATTTGCAGCATATTAAAAAACCTGGCACACAGAAGATGCTCATAAAATGAAAATCCTTAGCACTGTGGCAGCTACTAAAGAAATAGAAGACACATGGTCTCTGTCATCCAGAAGCTTTTACTCTTATTGGGAAGGACAACGCAGATGAAATATCAATGTAATAAATACTGAAGACTG